TATAACACTTACAAAATAGTTTCTATATCCATCTTAACTACTGTTTCCAACAACTATAATGACTTCTATCAAAATTTCAGCAAGATGATAAAATACCAATTGACTGTTACTTCAATAATAGCACCCTGAAAGCATTACGTCATTATACTACCTAGAAGATTGCACAGTGTCATTCTGTCAACATGATCCCGGCGAGGTCAGCGCGTCTTCGCCGCTGCTGCCTGCCACCTCGGGCCTCGCCGTCGACGATCAGGGAAGAGTCTTCCGTCACACGTGGAATCCACTGATATGGCCTCGTTATACAGCTGCTGAAAGATATACTCAGGCTCTCTCTTAGTCACGTGCAAGACTTGAAGTAATGGCAGACCAATGCTCAGATCCAGGAGACGTGACCAGAGTCTGTGGGGTCCCTGTTCCCTGTGTGCAGAGTCCGGGCTTAGGGTCTTCGTTGTTGCTTTAAGGAAACGTACGGAACAGATCTCTACAACAACATGTCTTTTTTTTTAAACTTTGATTGATAGGAGAATCTTTACTCTATAAAGATTCATATGAAAAGAATCTATTCTAAGACGTAGTCTAATATGGTTCAAAGTGACAAAATTTACCCTAGTGTTCACATCACAGCATTTGAATGATTGCTCGCATCCTCTCGCATAATACTGACGCCTATTGTGACCACGTTATAAAGAGGCTTAACAAATATTGCCACTATGAAACAAAATGTCCTTATCGCAATGAAAACAATTCTTTTTTAAATCTATACAACAAAATATCCATATTCTCAACATATTTTACATAGATACAATGGGAAATTAAGTATACAGGTTTACAATATAAACAAAGCAATCACCAATGTGGTACTCCTTCACCTTGTCTTTACTACAGGAGGAAGAGTCGCCGTAGTAACCATAATGACCACACATCATCCGGTTTTGTATTTCATGTCTACAATACACTTTTACTTGAAATACTAGAAGACTAGCATACGGGACTAGAGCAGACCTGTGGTGGTACGAGACCACGCTGAAGACTTACACATGAGAGAAACCATCTGTATTTTGAATGAGGTGAAGGCACCCATCTGCCGATGGAGTCGAGAATCACAACAACACAGGCCTTGGCTCGATCCTACGCGCGAGGTCCACTGCCCGCCTGCCCCGACACTTTCTCGAAAACCAGAAGACATTAACCCGTCAGCTGTCTGGATATCTAATCTCGGATCTAAGCTAGATTAATTAAATTACATCCGACAACTGATAGTGTTAAAGATGGCGGCGGGGGGAGGGGGAGATCATTATACCTTTCGAAAAAGAGATGAAGTACAACACCCCCGCAGGAGTCCTTCTTGTGTTGCGGAGTCGTTCAGTCAGTCTTTAAGTAAGGCGGTTGTGCTTGTGGTGATCTTGAGCCGACCTGAAGACTGCTTGCGGTGCTTGATGGCTCTCGCAAGGGGGGGGGGATGCCACCTTCGAAATCGAAGTCTCAGCCAAGTTTTTTTTTCTTTCATCAAATTTGTGAAACTACGTATTGATGGAAATGATCAGCGAGTATTTAGAAATTGAAACTAGGATTTTTTTTTCTCTGCTTCGTAAAAATATAATATTTTTTTTTATTAGTATTATTATGAAAATACGAGAAGCCATAATCCCATCAACCACATTGCTAAGATTGCATCCAACAGCAGTCAGCGTCGTTGAAAACTCGACTTTTTAACTTTTCTTTCTTCCTTCATTTCGGTCTTGTTTCATTTCGTCCACGAGGTGTTACGGCCAACAGAGAGCTGTCGTCTCGCTTGTTGTGGTTGTGGTGGTGTGGTTGGGGTGGAGGAGGTGTCGGAGGTGGAGGAGGTCGAGGTGGAGGAGGTGGAGAGGTGGAGGTGGAGTTGGGGGCTGGTGCAGGTGTGGGTTGGTCGGTCGGTCGGTGAGGCGGTCGGCGGAGGAGCCTCACTGCGTCGCCACCGCCTCCGACTGCCGCGTCGGGGGGGAGGCGCCGTTCATGAGGTCGCTGGCGCCTTCGGCCTCCTCGCCCGCGCCCACGCCGTTCTGCAAGGCAAACGCCCGTTAGTGAAGGGGAAACAAAGGGCAGCTAATTGATACCTATACTCAATTGTCTATATATATAGGGTACATCTACCTATATATTTTGGTTCATTATTACCTGAGAATTTTTCTCTAACGTTAGTTTAAATTCACATAAACATAAAAAAAACAATGATTACCAAATCAATAGCTTGCATAAAAATGATTTAGATCAAGCAACAAGTATTAATGTCGCAAATACCTGAAACTGATCTGTATCTATTAACGTCTCCTCATTTATACTTCAATCCAATTAATCAACCTGTCAATCAGCGCGTCAACCTGTCTACCTTTACATACGATTAAATTTCTGAAATTAATGCAACAATTCCAGGGAAGACACAATCAGTTAATAACTTTTACAGACGTCAATAATAACACAGAATACAGGGAATGAATTTTCACATTCATTTACCACTCACAGCAATGTCTCTTTGAAGAAGACTTAATTTCCGGGTCTTTGAATTCACCAATGTCTAAAATAGAGTGCAGTAAGGGTCAAGATACCATCTAAGGGCATTGCATCTTATTCATTTCATTTTATATCAATAAATCTATTCATCTATTTGTTTATGGGAGAAAGAGTGAGAGTGCGAGTGACAGAGTTGATTGTGTGAGTGGGTGAGATAAAGAAAGACACGCGTTTACTTTGTATATTACGCATCACTGAGTGCTTCATTTATTTGCACATTTAAACTTGAATGAATCACCTTCAAATTATCAACTCTGTTTCTGGATCTTTATCTACACATGTTATTTCTATGTGTCTATTTTCCGCCAAATACATTTACGTAGCTCGAAGACACCCCAAGGTTAAATATATTGAACCGTATCAGCAGACTATCTTTAAACGAAACATATGAACGGCGTAACCGAACAACCATTCCTGGAATATTCGTATTTCGATAATCTTATTGTTATATTTCTACAGCCAGGTTCAGAATACGTCAGTATATTTCATAATTCATCACAAAATCAACAAAATGTCAGAATGAAAACACCATATCAAACATATTGCGCAGTATGTAAGTAGCGCAACATTTGAAAACCGTGTATTGTGTTTTGTTTACGTTTCCGGACTGATTTAAGCGGGGATGCTCTTATTAGAAACTGATGCTCATCATCATGATTGAAATCCGCGGTGAATGGGCCAAGGCGAAATTACTCGGCATACAAATATGGATTGTTCTTTCCTCCCTCTCTCATTCTCTCTCTCTCTCTCTCTCTCTCTCTCTCTCTCTCTCTCTCTCTCTCTCTCTCTCTCTCTCTCTCTCTCTCTCTCTCTCTCTCTCTCTCTCTCTCTCTCTCTCTCTCTCTCTCTCTGCAATCACGAACTGAACATTTTTGGTGAAGTATATTACTGCATTGCGTCAGAATCCCCTATGCAATGGGTAGAGTTAGGTATGGTACATCTAAGACCACGAGCGATGGTCGATCGTCTGTTTAATATGTACAATAATATCGACAACATGGGGCGGTTGTTGGGTGGTGGGGGGAGGAGGAGGAGGAAGGGGAGGGATAGGGGAGGTGAAGGTGGGGGAGGGATGGGGAGAGAAGGAGGAGGAGGAGTAGGAGGAGGAGGAGGAGGAGGAGGAGGAGGAGGAGGAGGAGGAGGAGGAGGAGGAGGAGGGTGTAGGAATTATTGGTATTGAAACAGGAGTTGGGCGAAACCGCATAGTTCAACATTCTATCTAGCTATATCACTCCCCGTCCCTCCCCGGCCCCTTCCCGTATCGCTCCTTTCACAAGAGCACGAATTTCAGTACATTTCAGACGTCGTTACAATATGGATACGAGGGAATGGCCGCATCCTACAGTTCCTTCGCCACTATACATACAGCTCAACCCCCGGCATTGAATTTAGATTTATCGGTTTGCATACTAATTCGAGCGACGGAACGGATGCGGCAGAGGAGTTTGACAGCCTCTCCGAACAGAGATGGGAAGGTAGAGTGAGAGCGGTAGCCGTGAGGGCTTCGCGGATGATATGCATTGGATTCTTTTTTTACTACAAGTGTTTTTTTTTTATGAAGATGTTTCACTTGCTTATATCAATTAGGTTTCTAGTTTTGCGTAACCACGCTAACGATCTTGGCTTGGGAAAACAGCCTCTGAATCACATCTATCTTTAGTCGACGGTGATACAAATACCAAGATGCATGATAAATCTTGGCGTATCATTTACAAACTGCTACATACCTTAAATAAACATCTTTTAATTTCAAATAACGATGCATTAACTCTCCTTTGTTTTTTCCCCACTTAAAATTTATTCTCTGCAAACTGCAAGTCAAGAACTCGAAGCGCGCAATAATATCGACGGAGGCTGAGTTGTGCTCCTTCCGCCCGAGACAGCTGGGTGGCACTCCTACGACCCAGTGCCAAAAGGACTTGGCACTCCGACTGGGAAGGCTGTATGACGAGAGAGAGAGAGAAGGTGAGGAAATGGGAGGGAAGGAGAAAGAGAGGAGAGAGAGAAAGAGACAAAAAGAGAGAAAGAAAAAAAGAAAGGGAGAGAGGAAGAGAGAGGGAGGGAGGGAGGGAGAGAGGGAGAGAGGGAGGGAGAGAGGGAGAGGGAGAGGGAGAGAGAGCGAGAGAGGGAGGGAGGGAGAGAGAGAGAGAGAGAGAGAGAGAGAGAGAGAGAGAGAGAAAGAGAGAGAGAGAGAGAGAGAGAGAGAGAGAGAGAGAGAGAGAGAGAGAGAGAGAGAGAGAGAGAGAGAGAGAGAGAGAGAAGGGAGAGGGGGGAGGAGGAAAGGGAAAGGGTGATGGAAAGGGAGATAAAGAGGGATGGGGGAGAATAGAAGGGAGGGAGGAGGGAGGAATGAGGAGAGAGGAGGGAAGGGAGAGATGAGAGGAAGGTAGAAGGAGGAGGAATAGGAGAGAGTTGCAGAAATCCTCAAGTAGCGAAGGAGATTGAAAAGCTTAGAGCTCCGGCCCCCAAGGACCCTCGCCCGCACCTCCCCTGGCGAATTTCCGCCGCGCGCCCCCACACGCGGTGACGCCCCCACACGAGGTGACACCCCCACACGCGGTGACGCCCCCACACGCGGTGACGCCCCCACACGAGGTGACACCCCCACACGCGGTGACGCCCCCACACGCGGTGACGCCCCCACACGCGGTGACGCCCCCACACGCGGTGACGCCCCCACACGCGGTGACGCCCCCACACGCGGTGACGCCCCCACACGCGGTGACGCCCCCACACGTGGTGACGCCCCCACACGCGGTGACGCCCCCACACGCGGTGACGCCCCCACACGCGGTGACGCCCCCACACGAAGTGACACCCCCACACGCGGTGACGCCCCCACACGCGGTGACGCCCCCGCCCGGGCAATGCAGGTCAATGAAATGCTAGCGTATCACTGTATCATTGCACCGCGGTTGCAGATTGCACGCTGTCTCCTCGCTATCCCCCGCTGATGGGTAAACACGGGGAGGGTGATCAGGGCTACAGCGCGCCAGGAGTACAGTCCATTACAGGGCGAGGGATCTATGGTGATCACTGAGTGCACACAGCTGTACAAGATTAATGGAGTGCTCGGTGACAGCTGCTGCGCGCCCGACTCAGCTGTTCGCTTTGGCCCTCTGCTTGCTGCTCATTCCTGCTTGCTGCTCGTTCCTGCTTGCTGCTCGCTGTGGCCGCGGCTCGCAAGGGAAGGCCTGCTCCTGCGCCGATTTTTCGGTCATTTTCTTGAATTCGAATATCGCTGTTGCTGTTGTAGTTATCGTTATCGCTATCTATATTGTTATCATCATCATTTTTATTATTATCATTACTATTATCAGTATTATTACCATTATCATAATTATTATCATAATGATAATAATCATTATTATCATCATTATTACTATTCTATTATTATTAAGAGAAAATATTATCATTATCAATATCATTATTATTATCATTATTATTATTACTATCATTGTTATCATTAATATCTTTATCATCATTATTATTACTAATGGCTACATTCTGCCTTTCCTCTAACATACATTGATCATTATTTTCATTATCATTATCATCATCATTATTGTTATTATTATTATTATCATCATTATTATCATTATCACTCTTATCAAAGTTATCAATTATTATCATTTCTATCATCTATTATTAACCATCATGACTATCATCATTATCAGTCATGATTCCTATCATAATCATTATAACATCACTATTATCATCATTACCATCATTAATATTAACACTACCATCAACATCATCAGCATTACTAGCATCACCCTCACCTTAATCAAATGTTCATCACCTCGCAAATCCCATACAAATAATTCAGCTCTCCTCTGAAAATATCCCTCCCTCGCCTTCAAACCGAATACATCACCACACTTAAGATAAAACATTATTAGTGCGCGGCGATAATGCATTTACGCTGAGCCATCGAAATCTACGGGATTAACGGGGCCAGAAGATGACGTATATCTTTTCAGTTATTTCGGGAGATGCCAGTACAGTGCGTTTAATCCTAAGGTGAAATAGGTGAAATAGGGTTGAAGTGCTTTTACCATATGAGTTTTAGATATCTGTATCTCATAATGCTATGATGCTATGCGGAACTCGTGAACGTGTATATAATTGTTCCTCTCATATACAGCAGAGAGGTACTTCCTATTGTTGGTATAGTTTTCAACAATTTGGTATAAAGAGTATAAATCGTATACGGTATAATACAAGATTTCTCAATTAGTTATCACCGGGGCGTAAAATCTGCGGGACTCAAACGCCGCGTTTCAATTATATACGCGCAATGGCCTGGAAGCTGTGGAATAAAACATTATGATTAGTTTTTACATTAATAATTAATCTAATCATTCACAACCAATTCGCACCGGACAACAGCAAAACTAACAAAAAAAAAAACAATTTGAAGTATGAAACACAGGAATAAGGCCTGGTTGACGGGTGTACTGGCAAGTCACTGAAACCATGCAGTAGCTTGCCAACTCTGGAATGATAAACCGAGGCAAACACTTGCACGTCGCCTCAAATGCCTTGCGATACACCCATTCAAGCCAAACAACATGGGATACGGAAAGATATGTGATTATATCTTTTCAGATGTATTAGAACACATATATCCTTATATTTTTTCTATTTAATGTTAGGATCATTTATAAAACGTTTCAAATCTTTTCTTTGCCTGCTCAGTAAGCCGGGACGGAAAATAAAAGATTAAATTAAACTGATACGTGAAAAATAATTATAAATTTGATATAAAAATGAAAATTCTGTTAATCAACCGACGGATTGAATGCTGTATCATGACACCGAAAAATGAATGCAAAAATAAATATGTAGTTATATTATATATATGTATGTGTGTGTGAGTGTGAGTGTGTGCAAAATAAATAATATATAGTAATGATATATGTATGTGTATGTGTATGTGTGTGTATACACACACACACACACACACACACACACACACACACACACACACACACACACATATATATATCATAACTACATATTATTTACTTTGTATTCATTTATATATATATATATATATATATATATATATATATATATATATATATATATATATATATATATATGTGTGTGTGTGTGTGTGTGTGTGTGTGTGTGTGTGTGTGTGTGTGTGTGTATTATATGCGTGCGTTCGTGTATTTTTGGCGTATGTATATCATATTTATATACCAAACTAGACATCACTAACAACGGCGACAGCGATAAGCGCATCAACTAGCAAAGCTGCAAACGAAGCCGCCTCCCAGCGCCGCACGCACCCGGCGCGAGGGCGTGAGGTGAGGCGGCGCGACGTTGAGAGGCGATAGACATCGGCGGAGGTGGAAGGAGGGGAGGCGCCCGGAGTGCGATGGCGGCGGGGAGATCTGTGGGGCTGTGGGGAGGTTGTGGGGGTGACACTGTGGGGACCGGTGTGGGAATGGGAATGGGGCAGGGGGTGGGGTACGACATGAGTGTGGGGAAGAGATCGGGGGGCCGGGAATGGGATAGAAGATGAGGGAGGCAGAGGGCACGTTGCGTGGGTATGGGGAGTGTGAGAGTGGGTATCGGGGTGGGCATTAGTGGGGTTAGTGGGGTGGGGTGTGGGGTGGGGGGGTCGGTTTCATCTTCGCCTGAGCCGCCGTCTGCGCCCGGTGCCGCGGCCGCATCCCGGGGCCAGCGCTCGATTTACTCGTCTTTGGGAACACAAGCGCAGAGGAAGAGAGATGTTCAAAATTCATGAATTCAGTTCATGTGTATTGGCACGGTAATTAAATACGTCGACTGAAAGGTTCATAAAAACAAAATGAGAACATCATATATGCACACACATACAAACATACCTATACATATACATATATATAAATATATATATATACACACACACACACACACACACACACACACACACACACACACACACACATATATATATATATATATATATATATATATATATATATATATATATATATATATATATATATATTATATATCATATTATATATTTCATATATATTACATATATCATATATATTATATATTATATATATATAAATGATATATTATATATATATATCATATATATATTATATATATCATATATATATTATATATATCATATATATTATATATATATCATATATATGATATATATATTATATATCATATATATCTATATAAGTTTATGTGTATATGTATATGTATATATGTAAATATGTATATCAACGTATATAATTATGAGTACATACACACACACACACACACACACACACACACACACACACACACACACACATATATATATATATATATATATATATATATATATATATATATATATATATATAATATAAATTAGGAAGATTTCAACGGAATAACAAAACAAAAGAAAACGGAGAAAGAAAACGCGGCTGCCTCCGCGCCGCCGCCGAGGAGCGAGACTAATGGCTACATTCTGCCTTTCCTCCGACATACATTTTGAGATACAGATTTCACCGCGACCAAAAGGCGCTCCTGGAACCCGTGCAATATTTTTGAGTCCCAATATTCCGGAGTGTTGCACTTTCAAAAATTAACCGTAGAGCCTCCACCCCATCCCAACCTCCTCCCCCCCTCCGAGATCATCGCGCGTGCAGTAAGGCCCATCAGGCGTGTAATAAAAATGAGATTCTAACCTCTCGGTGCATTGGGCTAATATTACCTTGTATTACGCCCGCTTCGTTTCCTATTAGTTTCGAGGGCTGTTGAAAAAGAGGGGGTAGGGGGGGTTGAGGAGGGGAAGGGGGGGTAGAAGAGCTGGGGGGGAGGAGGAGCTTGATATCTTAAGAATTATTAATCCCTCTGGTCGAATGCACCGTCGATTTCTCTCTTTCCCTCCCCCCTCGTCCCCCCTCCCAA